CACGCCTTCCACCCCTGGCTCATGGCCTATGCCCAGCAGCAGTATCAGGATTGGCAACCACTGGCAGCTCCAACTTCGAGGGTGCCCTAGGATTGTCATCCTTAAGGCAGTGGAACCTGTTTGGAGGAGTCCTGCTGTTGGTTACAGAAACCGGAGATCAACTAATGACCCCCTAGGTTAGGTCTCTCGAATTGACACCCATTGCTCCACTTCCTCCCAGTGGCCCTCTCAACCCCCACATCTCTCACTCTACGTCTCTCTATCCCAAAGACTGGGCTCCGCCTCTGCTCTCTAATCCTTCCAACTTGGGGTTCACCCCTCCCGCAGCACGCGCCCGCCCACCGGGGGCCCCTGCAGCGCGCGCTGGCCCGTTTCCATGGCAACTCCGTGGCCTCGCACCTCGGGTCCCTTCCCGCCACAGCCCCGCGGTCCTCACCGCGCGGGAAGGGCTGGCCGAGGCAGCGCCAGCGGCCTCTGCAGCCCTGTAGCTGCCCTTTGGCTCCTGCCGGGGTCTCCCCCTGAGCGGCGCGGTAGCTGAGGGTTGGAGAGGACCTGACGGCCGACCTCCACGGGGTTGTCCGCCGCTGCGCCTGATCGCGGCTGCTGCGGCCACCCCACCCTGGACACCGCACTCGGCTCAGCCAAGTGCTGCCAGATAAGCTTTCTCCAGCCGGAGGCCCGACCCAGGTACAGGGACCCCGCGAGGCTGGGCTCGCCCGTCCCGGGCGGGGGTCCTCCCGGCGATCAGGAGAGCAGCCCAGGACACGTCAGTCTTACCACTTCCGCCCTCACCAGCGGGGACCTCAGCCTGGCCGAAAGCTGCTTTCCTGGATCTAGCGGGGCTCTCGCTGCTGTGGCAGCTCGGACTCTTCGCGGACGGTTTCCCGGGGAGGAGTCCTAGCAGCGAGGACTAAGGCCCCGCTTCGAGACAAGAATCGCTGCCGGGCCGCCCGCTTGTTCCCGGGAAGATTTGGGGCGCGAGAGCCTGGGCCGGGAGCGTCCGCCTGTGGCTCGCGCTGGTGGAGGCCTGAGAGCTGTGACCGCCACACGCGCCCAGCGATGGCCAGGGAGATGGAGCACCAGCGGCGGCTGAGTCCGCACCGAGTGGACGCCCCGTAGCGTTCGCCGGCTGAATCGATGGGACTTGCCATCGGCTGCAGAGGTCGAGCCGCGAGAAGGAGGTTCAGGGGTCCCCCAACCCGGGCAGGGGTGAGGCTTTGCGCATCGCTCCCATGGGAAGGTCCCACCGTCTGAATCTCACCTCAGTCCTCTCTCACCTGTCGTGAATGGCCCTCGTCAAAAGAATAAACACATAGATAAGAATGACTTCCCGGGCCAGACGGCGACCTTTCATTTCCCGACGACTAGCAAGGCGGAGGCCGGTCTGGTGCAGAGAGGCACGCAAAAAGATAGGGTGTTCTCTACACTGTGAGTTGAGCAGCTTGGCAGGGTTATTGTTAGAGGTAAAGAATTCTGCCGTTCGTTCGTTTCTTTCCGTGCTTTTGTTCTTACTTTTAACTTTGTGTATGTCTTTGGGCTTCTCTTAACTTTTTATTGCAGATTATTTTGAAAAAGTTTACCCTTGTGTCTGTCTCAGCTATTTTAAAGGGGATCTGCCGCCAAGGGACTCCCCCGCCACCTCCCGCCCCGGAAATCAGACCTCTGGTCAGTGACTTACGTTTGGCCGCCTGGTAGCTACGTGTAAGGAAGCTGACTTAAGGTTCTCTCTCCCTGGGGGAGGAAGTACAGTGGAAAATCACAAGTGGCTTCTGGCCTGAAAAGGCCTTCATTTACTTACTTCTATAATTATTGCCCTTTCTGACTCAGCCCTTCTCCCTGCAGTCATAGCTGAGGTTCCAAGAATTAAGTGGTTGAGTTTTTTAGACAATGAATTTTGTGATTAGAAAAGTAACTTCGAGTGGCTTTGGAATCATCTTTAACTGACAACCACCTGGTCTATAAAGCCAGAAACCTGGGCCTCTTTCTCAATATCTACCCCTCAAATATCAATGTTACCAAGCCCTCTCCACTTATTTCCTGAGTATCTTCCAACTGCTTGCCCTCTACCACTGCCTTCGTTCAGGACTCATCTTCTCTCACCATAACAGCTATCTTGGTAGTCTACTGGTCACTTTCTTCTTGGATCATTTTTCACGTTGCTACTGGAAGGGTTTTTTAAAATCAGGATCTCAGAGGCATCAGTATTTTTTTTTTTTTTTTTTTTTGAGACAGAGTCTCACTCCTCTTGCCTAGGCTAGAGTGCTGTGGTGGCAGCCTAGCTCACAGCAACCTCAAACTCCTGGGCTCAAGCGATCCTCCTGCCTCAGCCTGCTAGGTAGCTGGGACTACAGGCACGCACCACCATGCCCAGCTAATTTTTTCTATTTTTAGTTGTTTGCCTAATTTCTTTCTATTTATAGTAGAGACAGGGTCTTGCTTTTGCTCAGGCTGGTCTCGAACTCCTGAGCTCAAGCAATCCTCCCGCCCTCGGCCTCCCAGAGTGCTAGGATTACAGGCGTGAGCCACCACACCTGGCTAGCATCAGTATTTTTAAAAATTCTTTAAATTTTTATTTAGGCCGGATGTGGTAGCTCACGCCTGTAAATCCTAGCACTCTGGGAGGTTGAGGGCGGGAGGATTGCTTGAGGTCAGGAATTCGAGACCAGCCTGAACAAAAATGAGACCGCGTCTCTTACTAAAAATAGGAAAAATTAGCCAGGTGTGGTGGTGCGAGCCTGTAGTCCCAGCTACTGAGGAGGCTGAGGCAGGAGGATCGCTTGAGCCCAGGAGTGTGAGGTTGCTTTGAGCTAGGCTGACGACAGAGCACTCTAGCTCAGGCGACAGAGCAAGACTCTGTCTCAAAAAAAATTTTTTTGAAATTAATTCTCTTAGAAACAGGGTCTCCTGAATCCTAGACTCCCAAGTAGCTAGGATTACAGGTGCGTGCCACAATACCCAGCTAATTAAAATTTTTTTATAGAGATGAGGTCTTGCTATGTTGCCCAGGTTAGTCTTGAACTCCTGGCCTCAAGTGATCCTCTTGCCTCTCCAAGTGCTGGGATTACAAGCATGAGCCACCATGCCTCGCCCAGTATTTTTACAAAAACAAGCTGTGATTTTAATGCACAACAAAATTTGACCATGAGTTTTATACTCATGGATATAACTCAAGGATAAAGTCAAAATAGCCTGACATATGAGGCCTCTCAGACTTGGATCCTAATTACTTCTCCAGGTACATTCCCCTTCTAGAACCCTATGCTGTGTTCAGATTGAAATCTTGCATGTCGTGTTCTCAAGCCTGTAAGCCTCATGTTGTTCCTCCTGCCTAAACCAACCAATCTACCATTCTCTACTTAACCTGCTTGGAGGAATCCCTTTTTTTGTTTTGAACAGTATGAATGTCGCCTTCTCTATAAAGCCTGCCTTTACATCTCCTTCTTTGTTTGTTTATAGCATTTTATCTCACTGCACTGTTTTTTACTTCTTTTTTTTTTTGAGACAAGAGTCTTACTCTGTCACCTGGGTAGAGTACAGTGTTGTCATCGTAGCTCACTGCAACCTCAAACTCCTGGCTCAAGGGATTCTCCTGCCTCAGCCTCCCCGGTAGCTGGAACTATAAATGCATGCCACAACACCCGGCTAATTTTTCTATTTTTGGTAGAGACGGGGTCTCACTCTTGCACAGGCTTGTCTCGAACTCCTGAGCTCAAGCAGTCCTCCTGCCTCCACCTCCCAAAGTGCTAGGATTACAGGTGTGAGCCACCTTGCCCAGCCTGTTTTTCACTTCTTATATGTCTGTCTCCCTTGCCAATTTCTGACTCCTCACAGAAAGACTACAATTTGTCCACCTTCGTGTCTTCAGGACCTAGCAGTATTTTTGTATATACTAGGCAGTTTAATACATGTTCCTTGAAGGAACTAGTTTGCCCTCTATACATGATGAGACTAGAGCTGCCACCAAGTCACCTATCCAGGGGCCAGCTTATGGGAGCAGAAGATGGGCAGGACTGGGTGGGCCTCCTTACTATGGTCTGCCTGGGTCAACTGCTCTATCTTGCTACATTGAAGATGTAGAGCTGGCTTCCAACAAAACTTTGGAACCATCCTGCCAGCAGGGTCAGACTGTCAATAAATGGGAATTCACCGGTAACCCATGGCATAATCTGTTATTGGAGTTTTTGTTCTAGTTTGGAGGATGGAAGATACAAGAATTTGGATTCTTCCCTTGTTATTTTCTCTGCCTCCCATCTCTCAACCCTCTATACAAAATCTTAAATCCAGATAACACCTCTGTGACCACAACGTCCTGTCCTCACTCTTGTCATTTCCACCAAACTTGTTCTGTCATTCCACTGAGACCTACAACCCCTCCTCCTGCCCCTTTGGCCTGTTTCTAGCTTGTCTATCCATGCAGCTTAGATTCTGCATTCCATCATTTCAGCCACATTCTTGCCTATGTTTTTTTTTTTTTTTTTTTTTTTGAAAAAAGTTTCCCCTTTTTTCCCTGGCTAGAGTGCCGTGGCGTCATCCTAGCTCACAGCAACCTCAAACTCCTGGGCTCAGGCGATCCTCCTGCCTCAGCCTCCTGAGTAGCTGGGACTACAGGCATGTGCCACCATGCCTGGCTAAGTTTTTATTTCTATTTTTAGTTGACTTGTTAATTTTTTCTATTTTTAGTGGAGATGGGGTCTCGCTCTTGCTCAGAGCTGGTCTCGAACTCCTGAGCTCAAGCGATCCTCTTGCCTCGGCCTCCCAGAGTGCTAGGATTACAGACATGAGCCACTGTGCCTGGCCTTGCCTATGTTCTTGACACCTTTCTCATTGTTTCATTGTCATTGCCAAGCAGAACCCTAGTCCCAGCCATGCAAGAGGCTAAGGCAGGAGGATCACTTGAGCCCAAGAGTTTGAGGTTGCTGTGAACTAGGCTGACACCATGGCATTTTAGTGCCCAGGCGACAGAGTAAGACTCTGTCTCAAAAGAAAAAAAAAGATGTCTTTCAAGGTTAGATTCCTAGAACATGTTTCAACACCTTGCAATTCTCTGTAATTCTCACACTCATATGTTTCTCATGGTGGATTGTAAACTCTAGGGGCATGGTCTCTGTTGGCTTTATTGAACTAAGGGAACAGCAGTGGGCTTGGAAAGCCTTGAGTGTATTATTAAAGAGATAATTAGGAGGTAGAAGAGACAGGATTTGATGATAGATTGGATGTAGGGACCAAGGCAGGGAGAAAAGTCTGGAATGACACTTGGGTGACATTTGATCCAAGTACTCAGCACACTGTCTGGTACACAGTAGGTGCTCAATAAACATGAAGGAAGGGGCTGGATCTATAGAGGGAGTCTCACCAGATTGTGGAAGTTCCCTTCAGGAATGAATGTTTTCCAAATGGCACTTCATTCTCAAGCTTTGTGGCCAATGATGATTAGAAGGTAGATTGTGATGTGTACAGAACGTGGTACTCTGGGGGAGTTCCGTAACCAAGAGGAAAAAGGAACAACAGCCAGTGGAGACAAAAAGAACTGCTTCTCCTTTCTTTCCCCCTCCAAGTTCCCAGCGGAGGGTTGAGCCCAGCTTCCCAGACTTGTGTGACTACACAGGCAAGCATTCGGAGACTAACTTCACTTTGGTACCCTAGCCTTCAGTGGCTCAAGGTGTTGGCCTGTCAGTAGACAGGAGGCTTCCAAGTAGCAAAGCTCCCTGTTCTCAGCAAACCCAACACCATGGGGAAGGGAGATGCCTTAGAGGCAGCACCAACCACTACAGCCTACCGCTCTGTCATGGAGGAGTATGGTTACGAGGTGGGCAAAGTCATTGGCAATGGTTCCTATGGGACAGTGTATGAGGCTTACTACACAAAGCAAAAGGTCATGGTAGCTGTCAAGATCATCTCAAAGAAGAAGGCCTCTGAGGACTATCTTAACAAGTTCCTGCCCCGTGAGATACAGGTTGGAAAGGGCTGGAAGAGGGAACTGGAGCTTGGTACTAAGCTGTTTGAGGTTCCTCAGAAGGGATATGGCTAGGAGAGGGTGGGGCCAGAATCCCCCAAACCAGAACTAAGCAGCTAGGAAAATTCTTTGATGTAAATTCAACTTCTTTCCCACCCATCCACTCACCTCTAGCCACCCAAAAAGTAAAAGTGCAAAACAGAGTTTTCCCACAGGCCACCAGCCCTCTGGGGGTCAGGGTTTGATTCATTGCAAAGTTCTAAGTAAGTAGCAGAGGGAGGGTAGCGGAGGATTGGGAATGCAGCCAGGGTCTCCCTTCCCAGATTTGATGGGTCTCTCTTCTGGGGTCAGGTAATGAAAGTCTTGCGGCACAAGTACCTCATCAACTTCTATCAGGCCATCGAGACCACATCCCGAGTATACATCATTCTGGAGCTGGCTCAGGGTGGTGATGTCCTTGAATGGATCCAGCGCTATGGGGCCTGCTCTGAGCCCCTTGCTGGCAAGTGGTTCTCTCAGATGGCCCTGGGCATCACCTACCTGCACAGCAAGGGCATCGTGCACCGGTGAGGGCACTGCCACCTGGACTGGGGCCTTTGAGCTCTCACAGGGTTTTATGCATGTTTCCTATTTTCTGCCCTTTTTTTCCTCCCTTGAACTCCCTCCTCAATATTGGCCCATTCATCCACTCTATTTTAGTCATCTGGTCAAGGACACTTATAGAGTACTCACTGTGTGCAGAATACTTTATGAAATATAGTGGTGAGCTCCCAGTGTTCCTCAGATACCAACTTCTCTCTCCCCCTGGGGCTCTGCTCACAACTCCATGGCTATCCTTTCTCTCTACCATGTGACCTCATAAGCATCTCCCTCCCACTTTGCCTGTCCCCATCTCTAGCCTCTGACCCCTGGCCCTTCAGCTCCTGGTCTAATACTAAGCCCTCTCTCCAGCCTGACCCCCAGCCTTTCTGCTGCTGGTAGGGACTTAAAGTTGGAGAACCTGTTGCTGGACAAACAAGAGAACGTGAAGATATCGGACTTTGGCTTCGCCAAGATGGTGCCTTCTAACCAGCCTGTGCGTAGTAGCCCTTCTTACCGCCAGCTCAACTGCTTTTCCCATCTCAGCCAGACCTACTGCGGCAGCTTTGCTTATGCCTGCCCGGAGATCTTGCTAGGCTTGCCCTACAACCCTTTCCTGTCCGACACCTGGAGCATGGGCGTCATCCTCTACACTCTAATGGTTGCCCATCTGCCTTTTGATGACACCAATCTTAAGAAGCTGCTGAGAGAGACTCAGAAGGAGGTCACTTTCCCACCTAACTACACCATCTCCCAGGAGTGCAAGGTGCTGGCTCCCCCAGGAGGGCTGAGGCCTCAGGGATGACCCACAGGGGGGGGTATATACCCAATCTAGTCCTCCCAACCCTGGGGGGAAGGTTCTTCCTAAGCCAGAGCCATCTCACACTCTAGCCTTGCCCTATAATAGTGGGGAGGGCTTAAAGGGCCAACCACTGGACTCCAAACCTTAAATATGCTTGATATGCAAGTTGTAGCTTCTATCCCTTTAGGCCAAAAGAGGATTATACACGGGATTCCCCCCAAGAATTCTTACCTGCCCCTCCAAGGAGTTAAATGCCTGGCTCTCCAGGACAAAATCAGAGCCACATTCCCTCTCACCAGAGTAGTGTGATGGGCTATCCTGCTTCTTTCTTAGATCCAGCTGCTCATTGCCTATGTGGCACAATGGGGGGGCAAGCTCAGCCAAGACCTCTCTCTCCCTGCCCTAGAACCTGATCCTCCAGATGCTACGCCCAGCTACCAACCGTGCCACCATCCTGGACATCCTCAAGGATCCCTGGGTGCTCAAGTTCCAACCTGAGCAACCCACCCATGAGATCAGGCTGCTTGAGGCCATGTGCCAGCCCCCGACCACCACTAATCGTCACCGATCCTTGGAAATCACTACTTGAAAATGGCTGAGGGAGGGGGCTGAGAGAGGAGCAAAGCAGGAGGGTCTGGGGCTAAAAATCTTTTATACCAAAAATAAATCTGATTTAGTTTTATCAGCTAGCATCAAAGACAGTCTTTCTTCAGGAGAACCTTAGTAGGGAACATTGCTGAGGGTAAGAGGTGGACTTCTGCCAAGAGCCTGTAACCAGTAATCTTGACACCTGTGTAAGTCAACAGTGTAACTGACAATGTAGCTCATGGGGGAGGGGGTACTCAGATAAATGCCTGATTTTGGAAAGCTTTATTATTCCAATTAAGTACATGCTCATTATTTTACATTTTTGTGCTGTCTAAATGTTCAAGCAATGGGGCAAAAGCCCTGGTTGCTCCACTTTGACTGTGGCTCTACCTGCCTATAGTCCAAAGTGATGACATTGTTTGTTCTTTTAGATATGGGTACTAAGGTGTATGAAGTACGTTGGTTCCTTTTCCCTCCTCCTGTGTCACCTTCACCATTACTGAAACAGTACCAAGGAGTCAGAGCTCCTCACACTATTGCTCCCATACACAGAAGTGACAAATTAAGCCTTCTAGTAGTGAAAACTGTTAACTGTGGGTTCTGGATAAAGGAAAGCTACTTGTTCCTTCTATCCCTTGAAGGATACTCCGTGTCGTTGAAAATCTGCTTTGCAAGAGAAAAATAGGGCTGTCTTGGCAGAGGCACGACTGGGGGAAAGTGATGAGGGAAAACTCAGAGATGGCTCCACATGGTTCTAAGATAAACAACAGATAGCAGTTTCTTCAACCTCAGCACCAGGCAACTCTAGGACAAACCAACTTGAAGGATGAAACAGTGTCTGCCTGGAACAGGTTAAGATGTTGGAAATGCCCACTTGCCCTATGTTCCAACCCTCCTTCATTACTCCCATTATTATTCATTGCTCAAAAAAAGGATCCACAGACCAGGCGAAGAGTTCCCAAGGTAGACAAGGCAATATAGATACTAGGGTTCCATCTGCCCAATTTTATTGGGAACAAGGACACTGTAACTGCTATCAAAGAGAAGGGAGCCCAGGGGCTCCTTCTACAGTAAGATCTTCTTCAGAGTTGGAGCCAGGGCTGGGAGGGCAGCAGAGCCCTTTCTCAGGCAGGGTGACACCACTACCTTCAGCAGGACTTCCCCAAAAAGCTATGCTCCTTTAGCTTAGCATTTGGCACTTAAGGAATAGGGGCCAAGAAAGGCAGCAGAAGGCAAACAAGCCCAGACTCATCAGGATACCCACTCAGCCAACTGCTTTAGTGCTTCTTCGTCTTCATCCACTTTGGGAGCTTTTGGGAACAAGGATACCCAGAGAAAGAAAAGAGAAATGTTAAGGTCTCAGCAACTCCCAATTATCCCCTGCTGTGACATTCAGAGCCTATGGAATTCTCTCTCCCCAGCAATGAAACTAAAAGGTGTGGTCCTTCTGCTTGCTGGGTTGCTGCCCATTCCCATAGCACCTTTGTGCAAATTAGGAAAAAGGTGCTTCTTGTTCCCAGCATTTGCAGCCCTTTTTTTTTTGAAACAAGAGTCTCGCTCTGTTGCCCAGAGTGCCATGGTATCAGCCTAGCTCACAGCAACCTCAGACTCCTGGGCTCAAGCAATCCTCCTGCCTCAGCCTCCTAAAGTGTTAAGATTATAGGCGTGAGCCACCGCACCTGGCCATTTGCAGTCTTAAACCAGAGTACACAGCTTTATGAGTGGAGTGCAGGCTGGATTTCAGTCCCCATTCCCTTCTAGCCAGGTGTCCTTATGAGGTCAACAAACTGCACAACTGCAGCAGCAGCTCTCTCTGCCTGGCTCTTTGAGGCGGGGTGAATGAAGAATAATCTTTCCCCATATCTCTCCCACCCTCTCAAGTCCTTGAGACAACAGAACAACCCCACGTACCTGGCTCTGCAGGCAGATGTGTAGAGGGTACGCTAGGCAATTTGACTGGGGGTTTTTCCTCCTTGTCGCTCACGTTTAACAACTCCTGGGCCAATTCCTCCTGTTCCAGCTCCTCCAGCTCCTCCAACAGTTCATCCTGGATATGGGATGACAAGACTGTTCAAGATGAAGAAAGGAAACTTCTACTTCTAAAAACATACTGCTTTTGGAGTTCACCCCCAAATATGCCCCAAGATCCTCTCTTGGCCATTCCTTCTGGAATTCCTTCCATGCTTTCTCCAATATTCCCTGACCCCTCACCCCCAAATCACCTCATCCACATCATCTCCAAAGCCCACAGGCCGAGAAATGGCATCTGAGATCTGCTGGGCCACCTCCTGTTGTTCTGTGATGTCAGCCATCAGTTCATCTACCTTGTCAATGTCCCTGAGAACAAGATACACAGCCAAGAAATCAGGCAATAACCCCCCTGACTTTCTCATCTCACAGAAATAAAACTCCTCCTGCCTTGTGGCCTCACACTGATAAGCCCATGGCCATCAGGTAGAAGAGATCCCTAGAAAATTATAAAGAGGTAAGTCTGGGCTGAGAAACAGCAAGAAGCCACATGGGAGAGGACAGGTTGCATTCCCTTCCCCAAAGGATCTTTAAGAATTAGAGAAAATCGGCCGGGCGCGGTGGCTCACGCCTGTAATCCTAGCACTCTGGGAGGTTGAGGGCGGGAGGATTGCTTGAGGTCAGGAATTCGAGACCAGCCTGAACAAAAATGAGACCGCGTCTCTTACTAAAAATAGGAAAAATTAGCCAGGTGTGGTGGTGCGAGCCTGTAGTCCCAGCTACTGAGGAGGCTGAGGCAGGAGGATCGCTTGAGCCCAGGAGTGTGAGGTTGCTTTGAGCTAGGCTGACGACAGAGCACTCTAGCTCAGGCGACAGAGCAAGACTCTGTCTCAAAAAAAATTTTTTTGAAATTAATTCTCTTAGAAACAGGGTCTCCTGAATCCTAGACTCCCAAGTAGCTAGGATTACAGGTGCGTGCCACAATACCCAGCTAATTAAAATTTTTTTATAGAGATGAGGTCTTGCTATGTTGCCCAGGTTAGTCTTGAACTCCTGGCCTCAAGTGATCCTCTTGCCTCTCCAAGTGCTGGGATTACAAGCATGAGCCACCATGCCTCGCCCAGTATTTTTACAAAAACAAGCTGTGATTTTAATGCACAACAAAATTTGACCATGAGTTTTATACTCATGGATATAACTCAAGGATAAAGTCAAAATAGCCTGACATATGAGGCCTCTCAGACTTGGATCCTAATTACTTCTCCAGGTACATTCCCCTTCTAGAACCCTATGCTGTGTTCAGATTGAAATCTTGCATGTCGTGTTCTCAAGCCTGTAAGCCTCATGTTGTTCCTCCTGCCTAAACCAACCAATCTACCATTCTCTACTTAACCTGCTTGGAGGAATCCCTTTTTTTGTTTTGAACAGTATGAATGTCGCCTTCTCTATAAAGCCTGCCTTTACATCTCCTTCTTTGTTTGTTTATAGCATTTTATCTCACTGCACTGTTTTTTACTTCTTTTTTTTTTTGAGACAAGAGTCTTACTCTGTCACCTGGGTAGAGTACAGTGTTGTCATCGTAGCTCACTGCAACCTCAAACTCCTGGCTCAAGGGATTCTCCTGCCTCAGCCTCCCCGGTAGCTGGAACTATAAATGCATGCCACAACACCCGGCTAATTTTTCTATTTTTGGTAGAGACGGGGTCTCACTCTTGCACAGGCTTGTCTCGAACTCCTGAGCTCAAGCAGTCCTCCTGCCTCCACCTCCCAAAGTGCTAGGATTACAGGTGTGAGCCACCTTGCCCAGCCTGTTTTTCACTTCTTATATGTCTGTCTCCCTTGCCAATTTCTGACTCCTCACAGAAAGACTACAATTTGTCCACCTTCGTGTCTTCAGGACCTAGCAGTATTTTTGTATATACTAGGCAGTTTAATACATGTTCCTTGAAGGAACTAGTTTGCCCTCTATACATGATGAGACTAGAGCTGCCACCAAGTCACCTATCCAGGGGCCAGCTTATGGGAGCAGAAGATGGGCAGGACTGGGTGGGCCTCCTTACTATGGTCTGCCTGGGTCAACTGCTCTATCTTGCTACATTGAAGATGTAGAGCTGGCTTCCAACAAAACTTTGGAACCATCCTGCCAGCAGGGTCAGACTGTCAATAAATGGGAATTCACCGGTAACCCATGGCATAATCTGTTATTGGAGTTTTTGTTCTAGTTTGGAGGATGGAAGATACAAGAATTTGGATTCTTCCCTTGTTATTTTCTCTGCCTCCCATCTCTCAACCCTCTATACAAAATCTTAAATCCAGATAACACCTCTGTGACCACAACGTCCTGTCCTCACTCTTGTCATTTCCACCAAACTTGTTCTGTCATTCCACTGAGACCTACAACCCCTCCTCCTGCCCCTTTGGCCTGTTTCTAG